AAAAAAAAAAAAAAAAACCCAAAGGAAACATACTCTGTGAATACAGCTCACAGAAAGAGGAAAAAAATGGAGTTCCAGAGCAAAGGGAAAGTTCACCCTTGTTTAGGTGATTACATCCCCACACTTGCAATACCCATGAAGCAGGAACTTCACTCCATGACACAGGAGAGCTCAGTATGGAACAGCAGAGGTCCTGGAACTAACTGGAAAGAAACTAAATACACCAAACATAGCAGTAGAACCACTCTTTAGCAGAATTGTGGCCTTGAAAAAAGTGGGGTAATAACAGGTAGCTGAACTGCTAGGCTGCTCCTACTCATACCCTATCCCCAAATAAATTAGTGTACCAATGTAGTAATATTTGTTTGAGAAAGACAATCTTTCACCCATTCAAAACAAACTGCCACATCTATGAGCCTTGATAGGGAATAAGATAGTTGTAAAATCACAGGTACTTCTAGTTAATATCCCCAAGTATATTGAACTCCTATATTTATGCCATCAAAGACCTTGGGGAGGGGCTGGGGAGATGACTCAGTGGAATAAGGGCTTCCCTGGCAAGCCCTAGGGCCTGAGTTCAATCCCCAGTTCGGGGGGGGGGGGGAGACCTTGGGGAAATGAAAAGATACTCCCAGTAATATGTGTTCCTCAGTCTCCCAGCTTATACTTCTATAGTGTTGCAAGTTCATTCACATTTCATCAACTTTAGCTTGTCATTTATTCTAACCTCAGTTCTGATATGCTAACCCTGCCCTCCACCACCAAAGGACACATGACCCTCTCCTCATGGTGCCCAAGTTATGATAGGGGTCTCTTTCCTCTTTTTTCAGAATGAAACAGTATTCCCCCTAGCTACCTGTATCTTAGAAAGGATATTTGTTCCTTGAAAAAAATACTTGGATTTTACCAACCTTACTTGAGCTGGTGTTCCTCCAATTTTCTAGGCTGGACACTCCATGTATTGATCTCTGCAGTATGTGAGGCACAACATATACATATTCTCTTAAGCATATGGGAAATTAGAAATAACAAGAGAGTGCTTTCCAGACAAGACAGAGAAGTATCCAGTCTCTCACACCTATTCAATGTGCATTCTTTTCTGTTAAGTATCTGTTACCTACTGTTCTGAGAGACTTAAGTAACGTGAAAAGGAATGTGTTTCAAATAAGTACAATCACTACTGCACTGATGTCTGTAACCAGCTTGTGTACACAGTGCAAAATAAGACATTCTGGAAAGGATCCTTGATTCTCCCGCAAACTGTGTCTTATTTTGAACTGGTCACTAGCCCTCGATGATGCTCCAACAAAGGTCACATCTCTTGGAAAACACACACACCAGCATCACAGCACTGGATTCCTATGAATGTCTTCCCAGCTGTCAATGACAGGATCATAGCATTTAGTGCTACTCAACAGGGAATTGCTATCATATCCAGCAATTGCATAGAGTCTCTTCTGAAGCACTGTGGCTCCTAGATGGTACTGTGGAGTGGTCATACTAGTAACTGTTGTCCAGGAATCAGTATAGATGTTGTATGCCTCAACAGAAGGTGGACTGTACCATCAAATCCTGCCACCACATAAATACAGTCATTCAGTAGAGCTACTTCAGCACCAGAATGCATGGTGGCCATTGATATAACATTAGTTGATTGTCTAGTCCAGTGTCTTGTGTGGGGATCATATTTCTCAACTGAATTTAAGATATTCAGGCCTTCCTATCCCCCTAGACAGGAGATATTCAGGCCTTCTCCTATCCTCCTAGACAGGAGATCACTCTGCTGGCCACTACTAATCCAGGACCTTCTTGGGCTGTCTGCATATCTCTCCACATATTCCACTGGTCAATGTGTGAGTCATATTGCTCCATACTAGTATAGCGCCTGCTTCCATCAAAATCTCCAAAGGTGTAGATCATATCTCCTAGGGTGGTAGCCCTAAGCCACATTGGACATTCACTGGGGCCTAAGAATACCAGATTCCATCTTCACCTGCAGTTTTAGTCCAGGCATTTCACTGAACTGTGATGGGAACCACTATCTAAACCACCAATTATGTAGAGCTGATTATGTAGGGACACTGAGGCCACATAATGTCTTGCAGGTGACGCTTGGTAAAAACCTCCGTTCTGAGTCTTGGGGTTGTATTTCTCAATCACACATCAGTGGGAGACTGCTGGCTTCCAAAGCCCCCAAGCATTACGCACTTCATTGGCTCCTTGACGAGCCCTTGTCTGTAGGCCCTGCACTTAACTCTGAAGTTCAGGCCTCAGATGAAACTTCTTTGCTTCGTCAGCCAGAGCCCTGCACTGTAAACTACGATGGGTAAAAGGTTTGGTATCTGTGACATTGGTAATGTACCTTGGGGTTAGCATGAGCATCTATACTACTGTATCAGGTCAGACAAGGACTCCTTGCTTCACCCACTTGATGACAGCCTCAAAGAGTGACTCTTTAGAGTCCACCTAATTTCATTTCCATCTCTTCTTGACTTAGAAGAATGAATTCTTCATGCTGTACCACTTCAGGAAAATGCTTCTGACTCAAAGCCTCAGTTACTTGCATCAAGTCAATACAGTTGTAAGTTTCAGCTAAATCCTTGATACTTAGGCAGTTAGGGTCCAGATGACTTTCTGAGAACTCACAGCAGGCTTGCTTCATCTTTCAACTAAAGTAGACAGCTGCAGGGAGCAGTACTTGTATATTCTGTACCATCACATATACTATTGTGTGTACACAAAATCTGATAGGATTTCCATGGTAGAGGCAGTTAACCCTTGGGTATCAACATAAGGTTTTTCTTTCTCTGAAAGCTCACTAGTGAATGTGGCACAGAAGTAGTCACCCTATGCAGCCCACACAATCTGATGGTCAGGCCGGGGAGATGGCTCAGTAGAATAAGTGCTTTCCTGGCAAGTGCAAGGGTCTGAGTTCAATCCCCGGTTCCACCAAAAAAAAAGACAATCTGATGGTCAGGGAAGTCTTTCTGCTCTACTCTCAGCATTTATCACAAAGGTCATGGCTTTTCCTGAGGGAGTTCATTGAGTTGAGAATGGATTTAGCATAAGTATTTGTCATGTCTTTGGTGGCCGTAAAGCCTTCCATCAGGCAATATGGGGGAAGAACAAAAGAGGTCCTTTGATTCTACAGTTCTACTCCTAGCCACGAAGCTGGTGGGGCCTGGCCCTGCCCAAGAGGATGAGGTAGGCACACGGCCAGCATGTGGCTTAGCAGGGCCAGTGCTGACCCCTGGGCCCAGTGCCTCTGGAGGCGTCCCCATGGTCTTCCTGAGTGATCTTCCTGCTCCATTCTTTGGGCCATGTGACTTCCCTCATGTTCTTTAATGTATAATAATCTCATAATTCTGACTTCTTTATATATGGAGTTTAATGTCTTAGAATAGTATTTTATGCTGGATCTTCTGACTTCTGGTATATCCTTATTTGGCACTTTAGGCAATCCTTGATGATAAACCTCATTCTAAATTGACATCTGTTCACAAGAATATTTAGCATTTACCAAGTTCTTTCTCTGTGCAAATACTGTGACAAAGTAATGCCTTTGTCTCAATTGAGTCAGAAAAGCTTCAGAAAATCAAGTTTCAAGGCAGTTGTAGTTACTGTAGTATAGATAAAATGAAATGTTATTACTACAGAGAAAGGAGAAATAAATTCCAGCTTAGACTATATGGGGCTAATTTCACTTTGATTTTAGGGAAAAAAAGCAGTTTCCTTGGGTCAGCCAAAAAAAATGCTTTTCTACCATGAGATCCTTACTTTTCAACTACTGTATAGGTACTAAAAACTCTCCTCTGTCTAGTGTCATGTACTAAAATGATCATTTAACTTTTTTTTTTTTTTTTTTTTTCTCTCTCTAAATGCCCTAAGGGGTGGTTTGGCTGGCTGGAGTGTTGTGGGGATCGAACTACAGCAACCTGAGGCTGACTTAACTTTTATTTATATTTTGATTCTATTAGCTTTTGAATACAACAATAAGATTATTATGTTGGAGGGGGACAAATTAAAACTGATTTGTTAATTTCTGAATAAGGGTGTGTGTGTGTGTGTGTGTGTGTGTGTGTGTGTGTCTGTCTGTCTGTCTGTCTGTCTGTCTGTCTGTCTGTGTCTGTCTGTGTCTGTCTGTATCTGTCTGTGTCTGTCTATGTCTGTGTGGGGTTTTAAAACCAGTGAAGAAGTATTTCAGTTAACTTGAGTGTAGAATGAGAAGTATGCTGGGTGCAGGGTGAGTATGGCTCACCTGTGGTCCTAGCTACTCAGGTGACTGAGGGAGGAGGATCACAAATTGCAGAACAGCTTAGTGTTTAACAAGACCCTTCTGGAAAATTTTTAAAGGTCTAAGAGTATAGCTAGTGGCGAAGTGCATGGCTACATGTGTAAGGCCTTAGGCCCAGTCCGCAGATGGCCTCACCTACTGCCCAGTCAGAAACGAAGTCTCTCTCACCAAGACATTGTTGGTAGTGCTGCCAAGTACTACAACCACTGTCAATATAGGTAATAATTTAACTACTTTTTACCATTAATTAAAGAATCATCCTTTGTTTGTATGAATTCTGTTTACTTGGGACTTCATAGTATGTTTCATGTATATAATTGACTTATATCATTTGAGATGCAGTTTGTTTTGTGTATATTGTACATACAAATCGTTTTATTATATGATTTTTTTTTTCTTTAGGATCTCAGACTTCTGAACAAGAACTTTTTCTGGACACCAAGATATTTGAAAAAGGTTTGTTCTTGTATTTTGGTTCTTAGAAATGTTATATTCTGGGCTGGAGAGATGGCTCAGTGGTCTAAAGCACCTACTTAGAATAAGCTTGGCAAGGCATCAGGGACCGCGGTTCAATCCCCCAGCACCACATGCCAGCCAGCCCCGCCCCCTGGTGGGCTGAGCTGGCCACACACACA